ACTCCAGTATTCTTGCCTGGGAAAATCCAGGACAGAGGAGCCTGGCAGGCCACAGATCAGGCGGTTGCAAAGAGTCAGACATGACTGTGAAACTAAACAACATCAAAAATCATCACTCAAATCATTGAAGAAGTATTTACTGAATATTTACTAAGCACTAGGCACTGTTCTAAATCCTCTAATCTAGTAATTTTACTATTGGAAATGTATCCAAAAAAAAATTAGTGAACATGCAGACAAATATTAATGTACAAGGAATTCAGTGCAGTGTAAAAACCGCCTAAACTGACTAACAATAGTGACAGGAATAAATAATTTCTGCTACATCTATATTTTAAATTATATAAAATGAAAAAAGAAAAATGTGAAGACTATAGTCTAAATAAATTCTACTTGTATAATTTTATGAAAAGAGGAATAATAAAAATCTTGCACTTACATATGATACCAACTTCTCCTGTATATCTATTCAGTCAACATATATTTACTTTCTGTCAAATATGTGCTAGGACTTACAAAGAGAGAATCTGTAAGACCTCTGGGTAAATAAAACTAAAGGTCAACTTGTTTTATTTCTCATTATTGTTTCTCCATTTCACAGAAATTGCTGAAGAACAGGCCAGCATATATAGAGTGCTTTGTGCTTTGGTCATGAATAAAAATTTGTCCTAAAACATAATGGAAGAATAGAAGTCAGAAAAAAAGTGCAGTTTTAGCCTCAAGTACTTTCTGTTTAATGAGAGATGGAAATTTGAATTTGAATTCAGCTGTGAGGGCAGGCAGGTCCTTTAGAGGAAATGAAAAGGCTACAGTGAAGTCTTTTAAATTATGCATAGGTAAAGAGAAGATTCTGCTCAAGTGAAGAAGTTTGGAAAGTCTGACACTCAAAATCTGAAAAGACTAAATAGAAAAGAGAGGAGAGGGCAATATTTTGGGGAGAGAAGATTATTTCTAAGAGATGTCAGGGAGGAAGAAATTCTCCTCTACACTTCTAGGTTCTTCTGGCTGATCTAAGAATTAAATTGACATAAAACAGATTAACAGGAGAACATCACACAAAAGTTCAAAAACATGTACACATTAGAAAGACCTAAGTCCTTTATCTAAATTCTTTAAAAAGCAGTTAAGGGGGAAGCAACAAGAAAAACTTTTGATTTCTTATAATACTTTTTTTGTCTTCTAAGTTACCATAAAAGTTTTATATTAGTTTTTAAATCAGAGAAAATTGAGTAAAAATGTTTTTAAAACCTTGAAATCCAGTAGCTAGGGCTCAGATCCTTGATTCTCATTTACCATCAAACGTGGACACTCTTGTATCTGTGTAGCCCTGGATTTGACACAAAATTCTTTCCCCCATATCATGCTGCTGCTAAGTCACTTCAGTCATGTCCGACTCTGTGTGACCCCATAGACAGCAGCCCACCAGGCTCCGCCCGCCCCTGGGATTTTCCAGGCAAGAACACTGGAGTGGGTTGCCATTTCCATCTTCAATGCATGAAAGTTAAAAGTGAAAGTGAAGTCGCTCAGTCATGTCCAACTCCTAGCAACCCCATGGACTGCAGCCTACAAGGTTTCTCCGTCCATGGGATTTTCCAGGCAAGAGTACTGGAGTGGGTTGCCATTGCCTTCTCTGACAGCCTATCATACAAAGTGAATTAATCAGAAAGAGAAAAACAAATATCGTATACTAGTGCATACATATGGACTCTAGAAAGATGGTACCAATGTAATTATTTGCAGGGCATCAGTGGATACACAGACATAGAGAACAGACACGTGAGGAAGGAGAGGATGGGATGCATGAAGAAAGCAACATGGAAACTCACATTACCATATGTAAAACAGACAGCCAATGGGAATTTGCTGTATCACTCAGGGAACTCAAACTGCAGCTCTACCACAAGGGGTAGCAGGGAGGTGGGAGGGAGGGTCAAGGGGAAAGGGACATATTATACCTATGGCTGATTCATGTTGATGTCTGGCTGGAAACCAACACAATTCTGTAAAGCAATCATCCTTCAGTTAAAAAAAAATTAATTTTAAAAAATAATAATCAGTCTAAATTAATCTTCATGTCAGTGAAACACATTTTAGTGTGGCAAATTCTCTCCCCTACCAAGGAAAGGGTTGAAACTCAGGGGACTGGAAAGCAATGAAGAGAATATTTATTAGTTCCTGGGGTTGTGCTGTACCTTTAAGGGGATAGTCGAGAGGAGGGTGACAGGTTTTCACTAAGACCAAGGGTTCTGGGCCAGGCTGAGACCCCTGGAGGCCCAGGTGGCCATGTATACATGGTTCAGAGTCAGAGCAGGGCCGACTCTGGATGGAGCCTGGCAATTTCTGGACCACATCGTCAGCACAGACAACAGTGTTCTTATAAGTGATGGTGGTGACAGGACTTCCAAGTACTCATGACCAGTAGGCATGGCTAGTTGCGATCTGAAGCAGAAAAGGGTAAAACCAGAAGTGATGGCATTTGGTACCTGTGCCAAAACAATGGATGAGGGCACTCTCAGGTGATTCTGAGACTCCGTCATCAAACAAGGAGAGGCTTGAAGCTTTGTGATCAAAACATGAATATTTTATTTGCTTTGCTAAGTCGTTTCAGTCATGTCCGACTCTTTGAGACTCTATGGACTACAGCCTGCCAGGCTCCTCTGTCCAAGGGATTCTCCAGGCAGGAATACTGGAGTGGATTGTCATGCCCTCCTCCAGGGAATCTTCCCAACCCAGGACCAAACAAGTATCTCTTTTCTTTACCACTAGTGCCACCTGGGAATAAAAGCAAGGAACATGGGTTTACTGTTCCTTTAATGATCAAGTTTATGCCATTTTTCACAACGAACATGTATTTCTTTTCAAAAGGACAAACAGTTTCACACTCTCTCTGCCTCATCTTACTTTCCCTATGGAGAGTGAAGACTAAGGAACCTCATTCCCATCCTCAACTGGGATTCCCCTAACCACAGACATATTCTCAGGAAGGTCGCCCATCACTTTCTAATGCTCAAAGCCAAAGGTAATCTCCCAACCAATTTTTTTTTTCTTAGTCATACTGACCCCACTCAAGTACTCTTGCCTGGAAAATCCCATGGACGGAGGAGCCTGGTAGGCTGCAGTCCATGGGGCCGCTAAGAGTCAGACACGACTGAGTGACTTCACTTTCACTTTTCACTTTCATGCATTGGAAAAGGAAATTGCAACCCACTCCAGTGTTCTTGCCTGGAGAATCCCAGGGAGGGGGGAGCCTGGTGGGCTGCCGTCTGTGGGGTCGCACAGAGTTGGACACGACCGAAGCGACTCAGCAGCAGCAGTAGTCACACTGAATGCTGTCAACCATCCTGTGCTGAAAGTTCTCCCCTGAAGTCCCTGACTGTTCTTTCTTACCATTCCTCCCTCCACTCTGTCCACTCCTTGTCCAGCTTCTGGGCACCTCTTTTTCCAAACTGTCTTTCAGAAGCTGTTTTTTCCAAAGGTCAGCACTGAATTGTCTTCACCTGCCTTACAAATTCTCCCTGGGCCATTTCATCCATACCAACCTATAAACTCTCATAGTTTCACTTACAGTTAAATCCAGAGAGCCTAGAACAGCTCCTTAGACATGGGAGGTATGGTCCTTACTTAGTCAGATTTCAAGTCAGATCATTTTTAACATTCCCCTCATCTAGGCAACAAAATTATTTTCAGAAATCATCACAAAATAATTAGTAGTAATCATTATTTTCTCAATTTGCCTTTAATTTTAATACAACACACAATGAAGGATAAATTTGCATTTTAAAACATTATTCAGTGGCAGGGGCTGGGGAAAAGGAGAGGTTGGTAAAGGCAAACAAACTTTCAGCTATAAGATGAATAATATCTGAAGAGCCAACGTATAATGTGGTGACTGTAGTTGATAAAATGTGTTGTATGACTGAGGTCTGCTGGGAGGATGGAACTGAAATGGTCTCACCCAGAAAAAAAGAGGGGGTGGGGGATAGATAAGTGAAATGATGTATGTGTTTTAAATTAATGAGATACAGTAATCCTTTCTTGATGTCTATTTGTGTCAAGTCATTGTGATGTACAATTTAAATATCTTACAATTTTGTCAATTATACCTCAATAAAGCTGAAATTTTTTTAAAACATTATTCAGACTGAGTAAAATATTTCAGATATGAGCTAAAATTCACACTTAACAATTTCCCACTGTTCTAAAACACAGATGTAAAATTTCCAAGTGTCAAATGGCATGACAGAATTGGCATAACACAAGTTCTGTTTCTTCACCTTCACAATTCATTGTGCTAGCATTGTTAATATCTAATCTACTGTTTAAATGCAAAAATATGTAGCATCACTGAGAATGCAGACAAGAATTCAAGCACAAGTGTACTTCAAGTAATTCCGAACAATTATAAACTTACTCTTGAAACAAAAGCATGTAGCTGAGTTCCTGTGTGTCAAGGGATGAATACATAACAAGGAAGTCTTTGAATTAATTCCCCCATGTAGAAAACAATGTTTGTGAACATCGGATAAGAATTAAAATGTGCTAATTTGTAGCTTGCAGATATATTGCTAAAACCAATAGCAACCGCAGCAATTGTTTAGAATTTAAATTAACAAAAGACTTTTTTCAAGGAGGAGTATTTTACCACTGGTATTGTGGCACTTTGAGGATAGTAATAAGATCAACACTTACTCAGTTTTATTCTGTATAGCCAATACACCGTCTCATTGCCTACACCCGAGGCTGGCTGCTATTAGTATAGTCTTGACAACAGCTATTTGCTGAACGGCTGAATCCATTTATCCCATGATTCTAGGACCGCTTCTTCAGCTGAGACTTCTAAAGAAGGCCTGTATTTCTTCTAGGCCTGTATTTCTGTCACCTGATGTGGGAAAATGAACAAGATGGCGCCGGACAGCCTCTCTCGCCCCGTGTTCGGTCAACAATGACTCTGCACCGTTGGGTAACCGTGGAGCTCGCTTATAGCTCTACGCATGCGCGTCATGAGGTACTTGCTTGTCCGCCGGCTACTTTATGCGGTACACCTGCGTGATGGTCACCTGGGAAAGCCCGGAAGGGTTGTGTGCGGTTCTGTTGTGTTATGTTATGTCTGGTGCTACCGCTGCTGTGCTAGCCGCAAGAGAAGAAACGTGTCAGCAGTTCCAACGGCTCCTCGAGCCTTCTTCCAGCCTCTCAGTTCGCGCCTTGCCTGCCTTGGGTTCAGCGAGCAGTGCAGACAGTGGGATAAGCGACAGTTGGCACTGAGCCGGATCAGCGATGCACCTGACTTCACCTGACTGTCCCATGGCAACCTCAGGTCTGTGGCCCCAAAAGTCCTCCTTTTCTGCTCCTCGTTGGTGAATGGCACCAAATTCTACTGTCTTCAGCCAGAAACTTGAGATTCCTGTCTCCTTATTGCTCCCAAACCCAGAAGCTACCTATTTTACTTCTTAGGCATTTCCAGAACCTATTCTCTACCTTCCCATTCTCACTAACCTGGGCTAATTCTTCATTTGGTCTTCTGCCCAAGACCATTATGAAACAAAGTATTCCGTCTATTTCAGTCTTTCTTCATGCTAATCTCCCTGAACTTCCCTAAATCCCTCATCTTTAAAAGGGGATATTAATCCCTAGTGCAGAAAATTACTGTGGGGATTAAACAACATGTATGGCGTCTGGCCCACAGAAGATTTCAAAAGTAATGTGAATTTTCCTTCCTAAAATATTGCTTGATACTACTGCTTCCCAGTTCCGTATATTTTCTGAGAGCAATTTTATTTTGAGTCTGACTTGATGAAGCACCATTATATATGCATAAAAAGCCAAATTACGCAGATAATTTTAGTTGTATAAATGCAACCTAATTCAAAGTATTCCCAAACTCATTTATTCATTTTTTGTCATAGAAACAAACACTCACTGTTCATTACAAACAGACCCAACAAAGTAAGGTCTGATATTGACATAGACACATATAGACACAAGAAGACATCTATGTTCTCAAGGACTTTGTCATTCTGTACACACATGTAACTCATAATGTAATTCATGAGAAGTGCTAAGCGAATGCATATGCATGAAAGAGAGCGAGCTCACCAAGCTGGGTTAGAATGCTATCTGAGGAGGAGAGCAACTAAGATGTGACATAAGGAAAGGTATACAGTAGTCCCCTCTTAACCTCAGTTTCTCTTGCTATAGTTTCGGTTCCCCACTGGCAACAGTGGTTATAAAATACTAAATGGAAAATTCCAGAAGTAAGCAACTCCTAAGTTTTAAACTGCCCACCATTCTGAGGACTGGGATAAAATCTCAGGATGTCAGCACCATTCCTACCAGAATGTGAATCATCCCTTGGTCCAGCATGTCTGCCCATTAGTCACTTCTCGGTTATTGTCACGATGGGGCTGGTGTTCAAGTCTCTCTTATTTTATTTAACAGAGGCTCCAAAGTTCAAGAGTCGCAATGCTGGCAATTTACATACACCAAAGAGAAACTGTAAAGTGCTTCCTTTAAGTGAAAAGGTGAAAGTTCTCAGCTTAATAAGGGGGAAAAAATGGTACGCTGAGGTGCCAAGATCTACAGTAAGAACAAATCTTCCATCTGTGAGATTGTGAAAAAGAAAAAAGAAATTCATGCTAGTTGTGTTGTTACACCTGTTGGGGCTCAGTGTAGGTCACACCAAAATATACCATGATGGCATATTGATTATTTTGAATTGAAGCTGCTTGAGAAGCAGCTGATTCAAGAAAGAAAATCTGACTCTCCTTTCTGTCTCCCTGCAAAGAGGGAAATACATCTCTCATGTAGAAAGTACACCCCCTCTATCTGGAGGTAGAAGCACCCTTATCATCAGGGACTGGGAATTCAGAGCCCAGAAGCCTGTATAAACAAACCTTGTTGCTTTGCTTCTTTTAATCCACTACCCCAACACCAAAGTCTGTTTACTCACTGATTAAGCACCCAAACCAAAGTTTCTTAGCCTAGTCAATTCCTCACAAATTAGTTTCTTTGCTTAAAAAGTACAAAAACTGCCTGCTTCGGTCATTTCTTAGGACCTTCATACCCATGGATTAAAATGTGGTTTTTTTTTCTCCTTTTGATCTGCCTTGTGCCAAATTTTATTGTTACTCCAGCCACAAGAACTCAACAGGAATAGAGGGGAAAATTTACCCCTCCTGACACACCTCAACTGCAAAAGTTACAGCCACAGTGCATGGTAAGTGTTTAGGTCAGATGAAAAGGCATTATGTTTATACAATAAGATACTTTGATGGAGAGAGACCACATTCAGATACTTTTATTACAGTATATTGTTATAATTGTTCTAATTTATTATTAGTTACTGTTGTTAATCTCCTACTGTGCCTCATTTATAAATTAAACTTTATCATAAATATGTCCATATAGGAAAAAAAATAGTATATATATACATGTATATATAATTCAGTACTATCCAAGTTCTCAGGCATCCACTGGGGGCCTTGAAATATATCACTAGCAGATAAGAGGAAACTACTGTAGAGCTATATTCTCGGGTAGGAAGAGAAGTAAGTACAATTCCAATACAAAAAGGAATCACAAAGTTATGAGATAGGAGTGCTAATGGGATAAACAGCCTATCTTGAAGAAGACATGAGAAAATATAACACGAGTGAGATTTGGGGAAAAGACTGAGAGTGTATGGGGGAAATTTAATGCCAACAGAAGATCTTTTCTTTGGAAGTAATGAAGTATCAGTATAGAAATTGTGAGAACCTCCTCACTAGTTGCCCTGCATTTGGTCATCTTTCCTGTATAATCCTGGCTTCCCTGGTAGCTCAGACTAGCCTACAATGTGGGAGACCTTGGTTTGATCCCTGGGTCAGGAAGATCCCCTGGAGAAGGGAATGACTACCCACTCTAGTATTCTGGCCTGGAGAATTCCACAGACAGAGGAACAGTTCACGGGGTCACAAAGAGTCGAACATGACTGAGCGACTTTCATTTTCACTGTCACTTTCTGTATATTCTATCTTCCACTTGGTTGTTCTTGTGACATTTCTGAACCGCATCTCACTATGTCATGTCGTTGTTTAAAATTTCTTCCAGGGTTCTCCAAAGATGGAGAACCAATGGCCAATAAGCCCATGAAAAGTTGTTCAATATTACTAATCATTTGGGAAATGCAAATCAAAAACTACAAAAAGATACTACCTCACTCCTATTAGGATGACTACTATCAAAAAACAAAACAGAACAACAGCTGTTGGGGGGCATGTGGAAAAAATGGAACATTTGTGCACTGTTAGTGGGAGTATAAAATGTACAGCCACTGTGGAAAATGGCATGAAGGTTCCTCAGAAAAATAAGAATGGAATTACTACATGATCTATAAATCTATAAATCCCAGCTCTGTACACAACTGAAAGAACTGAAAACAGGAACCTTCCTGGCAGTCCAGTGGTTAAGATTTCACCTTCCAATGCAGCTTCTGATCCAGAAGCTAAGCTTCCATATGCCTCCAGGCCAAAAAACCCAAACCAGAAAACAGAAACAAAATTGTAACAAATTCAATAAAGACTTTAAAAATGGTCCACATCAAAAAAAAAAAAAAAAAGAATTGAAAGAAGCAGACTCTCTAAGAGATATTCACACATCCCTGTTCCTAGAAGCATTATTCACAACAGCTAAAAGGTGGAAGCAACTCACGTGTCCATCAACAGATGACTGAACAAACAAAGGAGGTATATACATACAATAGAGTTATTCAGCCTTAAAAGAGAAGAAGATTCTGACACCTGCTGCAATTCAGATGAACCTTGAGGACACTGTGCTAAGTGAAATAAGCCATCACAAGAATACGAATGCATATGAGTCCACTTATGTGAGGTATCTAGAGTAGTCAAATTCATAGAAACAGAAAGTAGAATGGTGGTTGCTAGGGTCTGGCAGTAACAGAAAAATGGCATGTCATTTAATGGATACAGAATTTCAGATTTACAAAATGAAAAGAGTTCTGGAGATTGGTCTCATAACTACTAAACTGTACATTTATAAAATGGCTAAGATGGTAAATTTAACATTAGATATGTTTCACCACAATTAAAACTAATTTTTAAAAATTTCTTTCATGTGTTTTCACTAACAGGATAAATTTGAACCCCTGTAGAGCCATGTACAAATCTCTCCACAGTTTGACCTCTTCTGTGAAAAATAAAAAAGCATTACACTATGCTTCAGTTTCAGGGAGAAGGGGGGAAATTAGGTATCATTTTATTCTCAAATGTATCCTGATGTGAGGAAGTAAGAGTGGAATGACTTTTAAAATAAGAAAGGTATTTATAATCTTTGAATACAGTGCTTCTTTAAGAAACACTTATTAAAATTACTGTTTATATCAACTCATGCAAAGTTTGAACCATTATTAATTTTCACAATAGCCACTCTTTTATGACTTAAGTAATTTATTCAAACAATGTTTCACAAACATTTGGAACTAGGGAATCTTCTAAAAGTACCTTAATGTGTATAACAAAGTAAATTAAAAAGTTCATTAGCACTAGGAGGATTCTTATATTCTCTATGCATGTCAAAAACTTGACAGAAGTCTCCTATCTAGCTAGTAAGCACCTTCCTGATTAAAAGCTAATTTCCATTTTTAAAGGGTAAAGTCATATTTCTGATCCTCAATTTCCTCCTAAAAAGGAGCATGGATGCTGCGTTAGCTCAGGCTGCCAGAATACAGTACCACAGACTAGGTGGCTTAAACAAAAATTTGTTTCCTTACACTTCTAGAGGCTAAGATGTCTAAGATCAGTTCCAGTTCAATTCCTGGTGAAACCCCTGTCCCTGGTCTGCAGACGACCGCCTTCTCACTGTGTCTCCACGTGACAGACAGCACAAGCAATCTTGCATTTCCTTTTGCAAGGACACTAACCCTATCAAATCAGAACCCCATCCTTCTAACTTCATTTAACCTAACTTACTTCCTTACTCCAAATACAGTCACACTGGAAGGTTAAGATCTCAGCATCCAAATTTGGAGGAGGTAACAATTCAATCTGAGGGCTTCCGTGGTGGCTCAGTGGTAAAGAAGCTGCCTAAAGGGCAAGAGACACAGGAGACACGGGTTTGATCCCCAGGTGCGGAAGGTCCCCTGGAGGAGGGCATGGCAACCCACTCCAGTATTCTTACGGGGAAAATCCCATGGACAGAGGAGCCTGGCAGGCTACAGTCCACAGGGTCGCAAAGAGTCAGACACCACTGAGTGACGAAACAGCAAGAACAATTCAGTCCATAGCTTTTTCTCCCCAGCATA